AAAGGGTTGCCAGAAGCCAGAATAGATTTGACAGCACATTATTATTGTTCAAAAATACCAGGCACAGTCAATCAAAAATAATAAAGACATTGGCTGCTAGTACAGTATATAACAAATACAAGTTTTAACCTAAAGCCTAAGTATCTGTTATTGGTGCAGTAGTGTGTATGCTGTTCCTAATATTGCTGGGTTTTATAGCTCTGATGGTGTTAATTCTGCAATCTGCAACTTTACAGGTATTTATCTACAAGATTTTTTTTTAGCCACACCATTACCAATGATCTCTGAACAGCGTAAATAATATTAAAACATTAGAAAAACATTAAAACCATTAAAAATAACCAATACAGTGGTACCTCGACTTACGAACCTCTCTACTTACGAACATTTCGAGTTACAAACTGCTCCGTTCGCAAAATATTTTTCGACTTGCGAACGAAAAAGAAACCTCTCCTGCCTTTTTTTGACCTAAATTCATCTTAGATCAAGAGAAGAAAAAAATAAAAATTTTCTCCCCCTAGTGGTAGAGTATGGATTAATCGACTATGCATTAGTTCCTACTAATGCCTCTGCATGCAAACAGCACCTCGACATAAGAACAAAAAACAACCGGAATGGATTAAATGGTTTTCAATGCATTCCTATGGGATAGTTTGCCTCGACTTACAAATGTTTCGACATACGAATGCAATTTCAATATGGATTAACTTTGTAAGTCGAGGTACCACTGTATTATAATACCCCATATTAAAACAGTAAATTTATCATTAATAGATCCTGCTCCTCATATAGCCAGCTAAAGCAGTGGTCCCCGACCTTGTGCCTCAAGATGTTCTTGGACTTCAACTCCAAGAAATCCTGGCTAGCAGAGGTGGTAGTGAAAGCTTCTGGGAGTTGTAGTTCAAGAACATCTGGAGGACCAAGGTTGGGGACCCCTGAGCTAAAGGATACTATTTAGTTAAAATGCTAGCTAAACAGAAAGGTCTTTCTCTGGCACCGAAAAGCCAAAATTGTCGGAGCCAGGCAGATCTCTATAGGGAGGGCATTCCAAAGTTGGGGGGCAACAGCCAAGAAGGGCCTATTTCGACATGCCATCCCCCTCACCTATTTTAGGGATGGCACCTTCAGAAGGGCTTCCTGGCCTGATAGAGGACGGGCAGGCTCATATGGAAGAAGGTGGTCATTTAGGTAACAGGTCCTAAGCCGTTTAGGGTTTTATATGTCAAGGTAAGCACTTTGAATTGGGCCCGGAGAGCAACCAGCAGCCAGTGATATGAGTCCACATGGTGGCACCTATTACCAGCCATGCAGCCCAGTTCTGTGCCTGTTGCAGTTGCCGGACTGTCTTCAAAGGCTGCCCCACATATAGTGCATTGCGGTAATCCAGTCTGGTTGTTACTAGTGCATGAGTGACTGTTGCCAGGCTCTGCTCATCCAGGTAAGGGCGAAGTTGATATATTCTCCACATCTGTAAGAAGGCAGCCCTGGACACAGAGTCCACCTGGGCTTCCAAGGTCAGACCTGGGCCAAGGAGCACCCCCAAGCTGCAGATCCTATCCTTTAGGTGGAGTGTAACCCTGTCTAGGGCAGGGATTTAACCTACTTCCGAACTGTCTGGATTGAGCCTCAGTTTATTGACCCTCATCCAGTCCATTATTGAGTCCAGGCACGAGTTCAGAGGGGTGACTGCCACATCTGGATTGGTAGAGAATGAGAGGTAGAGCTGGGTGTCGTCAGCATATTGCTGACTCCTCAACCCAAACTTCCTTATGACTTCTCCCAGTGGTTTCATGTAGATATTGAATAGTATGAGGGGACAGTATAGAGCCCTGAGGAACTCCATGATGCAACCGCCATGGATCAGAGCTACTGTCCCCCAGCACCAGCTTCTGAACCCAATCAGCCAGGTAGGAGTGGAATCACTGTAAAACGGTGCCTCCTATTCCCATTCCAGCCAATCTGTCCAGAAGGACACCATGGTCAATGGTGACAAAAGCCACTGAAAGGTCCAGGAGAATTGAGTTGCGAAGTGGTGGTATGAACCGATCCAAGCACCCTGTCTACATCCTCAGGTCGTAACAAATGAAACTCATCCAATAAATTATGACATAAGTCCAGAGCACTGTACACAACCATAGACTCCCGCATAAACAGTGGAGTCCAACTCTTTGCAAATCTGAGCAATTTTTCCTTCATAGTGTGTAACAAATTCATACAGCGAGCCACTGAGCACTAATTTCTTGGATCTTAGCTTTCATCACATTGGTTTGGAGTACTTGTTCTTGCACACAAAAGTTAAAGAACTGACAGAAAGAGAGTACATCAAAAGACTGCAGAAAACCTTAAAATCAAAATTAAATAGTGGAAATACAATCAAAGCCATAAAAACATGGGCAGTTCCATAATTAGATAACCAGCTGGAATAATAGATTGGACCTAAAATGAATGAGAAGAATTGGATTGAAAAATATGGAGACTAATGAATATGCATCATGCACAACATCCAAAAAATGATGTGGACAGATTATATTTGCCACCAAAAACCTGGAGATCATGGATTACTGCAAATACAGCAGGTAGTAGAGGATGGAAAAAGAAGCCTAAATGATTATAAGTACAAGTAGATAAAAATTACTAGTGGCAGTGAAAATGGAGAATATTTTGAAAACAACAGAAACAAAGATTCAATGTAAGAAACAACAATTTGACAATAAATTGAACAGTTGGAAAAATAAACCACTACATAGGAGAATACCTGAGATATGCTGATGGAAAGCATGAAAATAACTGAACATGAGCATGGCTAAAACTGGGGATTATTAAAAAAGAAACTGAAATATTGACTTTTGCTGCACAAAAACAAGTACTCCAACAATAACAAAAACAACATACAGAGATCTGGCAATCTAAACATCTCACTTGTGGATGAAAACGCACTTAGTTGTCCCTGTAGGTATCGGGGCTTTAGGAACAATATCAAGAAATTTCATACAGTGTTATAAGCAGTTGCAGATTTCAGAAATAACAATATTAGGAACAGCATACATACTGTGTCAATATTTAACAGATACTTAGGGTATTGGTTAAAACTTGTATCTTATGTAATACCAGTCAGCACTTGGTTGTGTCTGATATTTTTGTATGATGATGATGTGTAGCAATCCTATAGGCCTCTAGACTACTGCACGATTACAAGTAATTCCACCAATGATAAAAACACTCCTGTTCTACAAAAGCTACTTCTGTAATAGGCAGAGGCATTCATTCGACAAATGAAACATTCAGTAGTGGTTCCTATGCCACTTTTAACCCAAGGACAGGGCGGATGTGGTCTTTGAGATGTTGCTGAGCTGCAGTTCCTGTCATCCATCACCACTGGCTATACTGGCTAAGGCTGATGGGAGCTGTACCCTAACATCCTTAGTTTATATGGCGGGAGGTATGCAAGGGAAGACACATGACAGCTCTGCTATTTCAGCGTTCCCTTAGTATTTTCTTATCAATGGGCGCAGCAGGTGGCTCTGGATAGAGGGCAATTCACCACATGGCTGCTGCGTGCGTATAACCATTTGGGAAGCTGGTTATATGTGGTGCCTTGGCCAGGTGGAGAGAAACCTCACCCCAGTCAGAACTGTACAAATGGCAGGGGGTGGTCACAGGTTGTCCTCACCACTTGACAACATAGCAAAGATGCTTGTGAAGTGGGAAGGTCCTATCTGTAAAGGCACAGCTTTTTACAACTAAACGGAATAGAAACAAGCCATCGGGATGCATTGAACTACAATTCCCATAATTCCCCAGAATAGTGCAGCACATTGGGAGATTACGAGATCAATCAGGGGAACCAGGTTTAAAGAACAGTTTTTCTTTAAACAGCAAGGTTTATTCCCATATGAGATTCCTGTGGAAAAGTGTATTGGTGAGGAGACCTTGCTTTTAAACAAGAACCTATTCTTCTCTTGAAATAGAAGTTATTCCAGCTGACAGTCCATGCAATGAACTGCAGAGTCACCCCATAACTGGAAAACTCACAGGAACCACGTTACAGGCCAGGGTTGCAGGTCCAGTCCCCACTGAGAACTTTCTGAGGGCCACATCTTAACAGCAGAATTACCGTTAAATCATGTTGCCCTTTCCTTGCCAAAGAGAGAGAAAAACAGTCGTATTTTTGTCTCCTTGCACTCGACAACTTACTCAAAGAAGTAACCGGTACTCAGCCAGTAACTGATCTCAACGGACGTATTGGCTCTGAATTTGGGAATTCACATGTCACCCCTGAGGGCAGCTGAACACGTAGATGACTTCTTAGGCAAATTAACAGAAGCCGTGGGCTGTACATGGTCCCTACATTCAGAAACATTATGAATATTCATGAATATCAGTAGCTAGGCATCATGAGCATAACAGCTCTACAGCAGATGTCCAATCAGTGGACTTCTCATGAGCAGTTGCTTAGGAGAAATCAAGATGCTGAACTAGATCGATCTTTGGCATCTAAGCCAGACATTTTCTCCTTATCTTTGTATAAAAGATCATTCTTCCAACTCTCTATGTGATTAAGATGAGTACTTTCACGTGCATGTATCAGTGACTGAACTAATAAATGCACGCAAGGTGTTTGCGGAGGTACCCATGTATATAACAGGAACATAAAGGACACAGAGCTACATGAGAGAATATTAAAGTGTTCTGCACTTTCATTCAGTCAAGAAAATGAGGTGAAGACGTTTAATTCTTAACCATCCATCTTGCATAATGAGAAGGCAAAAGGTAGCACATGTACCGTGGGTCAGAGGTTAGTTCTATCAAATAAAAGGAGGTCAAGTTGTTCTGAGTCACTAAAAAATCAGCTGTTGAAAGGATGGAAAAGTGACTGAGGAAGGTACCCTTCTCGGGGAAAGGGCCTCCCTAGCTGGCTCTTGCAGGCAGGGCTGGAGGCACCTTCTTGCACGTGGCCTCTTGCAAGGCCCACCTGTTGGAGGGCAGCTATTTGGCAGTCTCTGCTTGGGTACCGTCTCAACGTTCGTCAAAGCCAGGCATGGGAAAGGCACGGGCAAAAGTTTCGACACGCTGCCGGAGGTCGGAGAGCCTCTGTTTCGTCTCTGGGTCAGCCAGCAAGAAGGATTTGAAATCTTGTAACTTGGCTTTTGGAGGGAGGGCAGGAGGAAAAAAGAGGAGAGAAGAAATGTAAACATATTGGAGCATTACAGGCCCATGAGAACATTCAGGCAGAGAAAACAGGGTGAACTACCTCAAGAATGCACTCCACCAGAATGAGGCCTCAGTTCCCATTCCCTGGACACCTCCCTCCCCAATTTCCTTTCCATCAAGAGGACCAGGGGGTTTCTCAGCACTGGGACATCTTTGCTCATGCCTCTGTATTTTATTTATTTATTGCCTTTTCCCAAGAATTGTGCCAAACTCTAAAAAAAAAATTAGAGCCCCAATCTTGCCATTTTAACTTACTTTTGCTTTCTGGGGAATACATGATGGAAAAACCTTCAATGGCTATATTTCTCTGTGTTTAAAAGCCCAGAGCAGGGCTAAGAAAAGAGACGGCAGCCCCATCTAGAAAAGATGCTTTATTACCTCAGGGGTCTACACTGGAGCAAACAATTCCATCAACTGGAATACAGCAATGCATGCAAAGAGTTTATCAAACAAATCCCCTGGATAATCTAAGGAGACTAATTTGTAGCTAGCTGAATCCTCGCTACCCCTTGATGGCTATATAGAACATAATCAGTGCACTGCATGAAACTGGGAATAAGGGTCCTGTAATCGCAATATATTAGCTTCCCACAACATGCCAATTACTTACAGGTTTTCTTTTTGACATCTAATCCAATCTGGATCCCTTCATCAATGAACTCGACTACTTTCCGGAAATCAGCTTCCCGGAATTGTCGGGAAGTTAGCGCAGGTGCCCCTGCAGGGGGAGTGGAGGGGAACTGGATTAAGAACAGAGCTTACCAACCCAAAATGAAGGTAAAACGAGTGGACAGACCTGACAATGTTATAACCAAGAGAGAAGGGTCTCTCTCACACACATGCACCCAACACCACCACAGAAGAGACTCTTACAGCAACCCTCAGTGCTCCTTCCACTCCGTCTTTACTCTTGCTGACAGACTGTCTACACAGACATCTAACTACCATGCTTTGCTGGACCAACTGGCAAAGCAGTCCAGCAAGCAAGTTCTGATTGGTGAATGCATCTCCGTTCCTATGCCTATTATTATTATTATT